TTCCTACCAAAATGGATGACCTCACACTTATCAACATTGCACTCCATCTGCCAGACCTTTGCCCACTCACTTAGACTATCTATATCCCTCTGCAGACTTTGTCTTCTGCACACTTTGCTCTACCACTCATCTTAGTGTCATCTGCAAATTTTGACACACCACACTTAGTCCCCAACTCCAAATCATCTACGTAAATTGTAAACAATTGCGGTCCCAACACTGATTCCTGAGGCACACCACTAGCCACTGACCGCCAACCAGAAAAACACCCATTTACCCCCACTTCTGAAGGGTCTAGGCCCGAAACTTCAGCCTTCCTGCTCCTCTGATGCTGCTGGGACTGCTGTGTTCATCCAGCTCTACACCTTGTTATCTCATTTACCCCTACTCTTTGCTTTCTACTGGTCAACGAATCCTCTATCCATGTCAATATATTACCTGTAATACCGTGGAACTTTATCTTATGTAGCAGCCTTTGGTGTGGCACCTTGTCAAATGCCTTCTCGAAATCCAGATACACCACATCCACAGGTTCCCCATTGTCTACCATGCAAGTAGTGTCCTCAAAGAATTCCACCAAATTAGTTAACCATGACCTACCCTTCATGAACCCATGCTGGGTGTTCCCAATGAGACAATTTATATCCAGATGTCTTGCTATTTCTTCCTTAATGATAGATTCAAGCATTTTCCCCACTACCGAAGTTAAACTAACTGGTCTATAGTTAGAGATAGTAGGAACTGCAGATGCTGGAGAATCCGAGACAACAAGGTGCAGGGCTGGATGAACACAGCAGGCCAAGCAGCATCATAGGAGCAGAGAGGCTGACGTTTCGGGCCTAGACCCTACCTGCTTTTTGTCTACTTCCTTTTTTAAACAGTGGCGTCACATTGGCTGTTTTGTAATCTGCGGGAACCACCCCAGAGTCCAGTGAATTTTGGTAAATAATTACTAGTCCATTTGCTATTTCCCCCATCACCTCCTTTAGTACCCTGGGATGCATTTCATCAGGGCCAGGAGACTTGTCTACCTTTAGCCCCATTAGCTTGCCCAGCACTGCCTCCTTAGGGATAATGATAGTTTCTAGGTCCTCGCCTGCTATAACCTTCTTGCCATTAGTTTTCGGCATGTTATTTGTGTCTTCTACTGTGAAGACCGACATGAAATAACTGTTTAGTGTCTCGGCTATTTCCTCATTCCCAGTTATTAAATTGGCCTTCTCATCCTCTAAAGGACCAATGTTTACCTTCGCCACTCTTTTACGATTTACATATTTATAGAAACTTTTGCTTCCTGTTTTTATATTCTGAGCTAGTTTACTCTCATAATCTATCTTACTTTTTTTGTGGCTTTCTTTTGGCCTTTAAAGATTTTGCAGTCTACTAATTTCCCACTACTCTTTGCTTTTCCGTGTTTTTTTTTTCAATCTGATACTTTCCTTTATTTCCTTAGACATTCATGGCTGGCTCTCTTTTCCTACAGTTTTTTCTTATCACTGGAATATACTTCTGCTGAGCACTGTGAAAAGTTGTTTAGAAAGTCCTCCACTGTTCCTCAATTGACCCACCATAAAGTTCTTGCTCCCATTCTACCTTAGCTAACTCCTCCCTCATTCCTTCATAGTCTCCTTTGTTTAAGCACAGGACATAGGTACTGTATTTAATCTTCTCATGCTCCATCTGTATTTTAAATTCGACCATACTGTGATCGCTCCTTCCGAGAGGATCCTTAACTGTGAGATCATTAATTAATCCTGTCTCATTACACAGGACTAGATCTAGAATAGCTTGCTCCCTCGTAGGTTCCATTACATATTGTTCAAGGAAATTATCGTGGATGCATTCTATGAACCCCCCCTCAAGGCTGCCATGACCGATCTGGTTTGACCAATCGATATGTAGATTAAAATCCCCCATGATAATTGCTGTACCATTTTTACATGCATTAGCTATTTCTATGTTTATTGCCTGCCCCACCACAATGTCACTATTTGGTGGCCTATAGACCACACCTATCAGTGACTTCTTCTCCCTGCTATTCCTAATTTCCACCCGAATGGATTCAACGTTTTGTTCAGTAGGACCTATATCATCTCTCGCTACCGCCCTGATATCATCCTTAAAAATCAGAGCAACACCACCTTCCTTACCTTCCTGTCTGTCCTGCCCAACAGTTTGACACACCTGGATATTTAACTCCCAGTCATGACCATCCTGTAACGGCCACCAAATCATACCCATTTGCCATGATTTGCGCCGTCAACTCATTCACCCTGTTTCGAACGCTCTGAGCATTCAGATGAAGTGCCCTTATGCCAGTTTTTGCACCTTCTTTTTGGGTCCTATTACCTCCATTACTAACAGCTCTTGAGTTCTCCTTCCCTTTAACTTTTTTGCTAATTTTCAATGGAGTTGAAGCTTCCTCGTCACCTGCTAACCTGCTGCTTTGCCTTACATTAATTGTTATTCTCCCTCGACACTCACTTCTCCCTTCCCCCCTACTTACTAGTTTAAAGTCCTATTAACCACCCTATTTACCGTTTTTGCCAGAACATTGGACCGGCCCTGTTCAGGTGGAGTCCAGCAGTACAGATCCCTCCTGTCCCAGAACTGATGCCAGTGCCCCATGAAAAGGAAACCCTCTTTCCCACACCACACTTTTAGCCACGTGTTTACTTCCCTGATCCTCGCCTCCCTGTGCCAATTTGCACGTGGCTCGGGCAGCAATCCAGAGATTATGACCCTTGAAGACCTGTTTTTTAATTTTGTTCCTAGCTTTTCATAATCCCGAAACAGGTCTTTTTTCCTAGTCCTGCCTATGTTGTTAGCGCCTACGTGGACCACAACAATTGGATCCTCCCCCTCCCTCTCTAGTATCCTCTCAAGCCGGTCAGAGATGTCTCGCACCCTGGCACCGGGCAGGCAACACACCACGCGGGATTCTCTATCCTGCTCGCAAAGGATACTGTCTATCCCCCGATGATGGAATCCCCTACAACTACAATCTGTCTTTTTGCTTCCCCCTCTTCAATGGCCTCCTGGACCATGGTGCCATGGTCAGTTGACTCATCCTTCCTGCAGCCCTGTTCCTCATCCACGCAGGGAGCAAGTGCCTCATACCTGTGGGACAATGTCGAGGGCTACGGCTCCTGTGTTCCTGTCTGCAGGGTCCCTCTACCTGCCTCTCTCGCAGTCACACACTGCTGTCCCTGCCCACCGATCGAATTAACATTAGTTAATCTACCAGGTGTGACTGCCTCCTGGAACACAGCATCCAGGTATTTCTCCCCTGCCCGGATGTGCCGCAGTGTTTGGAGTTCGGATTCCAGCTCGTCAATTTTGAGCCGGAGCTCCTCACGCAGCCAGCACTTGCTGCAGATGTGGTCACTGCCGTTCTCAATGGGATCAGCTAGCTCCCACATCATACCACTACAATACATCACCTGGCCTGCCATCTCCACTTAGTTAATTATTTAATATTAGTTTTTTTTTAGTTTTGCAGTGTTTTCTGCACCAGTAAGTTTACTCTGTTATATACTCAAACAGACTCCAGCTTCGCCTTCCGACCCGCTCCCAGAGGATTTGGCATCTGGGTACCACCCCGAAAGATAACAGAGATGACGAAACAAAAATGCAAATAGCTTACCTGCTCACCACACTTAGTCGTTATTATTAGGTTACAGGAGGTGGAAAGGGGGGAGACACTATGCGTGTAGTGTCTCGGGTATTAGTTAACTCCCAAATTTAGTGGGTGGAAGCTTACCTTCCCAGGCTGCCCTCGCACTTTCTCCCGGACTCCCGCCGCTGAAATAACTGAAAGCCTCACATTTATATACCTCACATAACCTCATATTTATCCACATTGGTTGAGTGTGCAAATACTTGGCAAATGCAACATAGTCTGTCCAAGTCACACTGCAACCTCTTAGCATCCTCCTCACAGCACACACTGCCACCCAGCTTAGCGGCATCTGCAAATTTGGAGTTATGGCATTCAACTCCCTTGTCCAAATCATTAATGTACATTGTGAACAGCTGGAGTCCCAGCACTAAACACTGCAGCACCACACTAGTCACTGTCTGCCACTCTGAATGTGGGATAGAGCTGTATCTTAAGTGGCAAAGCCTGTTAACTAGTTTTGAGCCACACCATGCCTGCAGCACCTCAGTAAATTGTCCAAGTAGGTTAATTACTTAAAGTCAAAGTAGTTCTTCTTCTGACACCACCAGTTTCTTGGGTAGTCTGATTTGACAGTGTACTTGCATCATTCAGTGCAGCATTAGTTTATCATCATGCTATACACTAGATAAGATGGAATAAAATCAAACATTGAAATATTTCAGTCAGCGTCTCCTGAATTTTACACAGAATCTCATCAGATGAGCCCTATTCCCAAAAAGTGGCTTAGAAGATTACTACTAACTCTGATGACAGCACATTTATGACAGAAAACTAAGTAGCATATATTTTTGTTGGCATACAGAGTCAGCAAACATCTGAAGAATGCGCAAGACAGTAACTGGATATGCACTAACCAGTTTAAACCAAATCCTCCACGCTTTGTACCATGGTGAGCCGAGTTTAGATAAGTTCTCACATAGCTGTTACAAAAATTCAAAGGCAAACCATTCCAAGCTCTAGTATTCCAGAATACTCCCAATCACTAATATATATCCAGAGTGTACAGCAAATCCTTGCTTTCCAGGGGGGGTATAGGAAACAGATGTCCCAAAGGTAACATAAAAGCATGGATAGCACTATAATAGAAATCCACTTGCTCCTGAGAGACTGTGTGCAATCCATTAGGAGCTCAATAAGGGAAAGAGATCAAACTGGCGTGGGGAGGTGACCTCGCAAATACACAGATCAATGGGAAGGGAGTCCATGTAGAAGGAGGTGACAGTGTAAATGTGCAAAAGAATAAACAATATTCTTTGATTGAAGAATATAGATCACAAGACAGCATGCTACCAGAAAGACAACTGATGAACTACATTACCTGGGATGGTGACTTTGGTATAGAAGGGACATGTGGTGCAGGAGAAGTTGAAGCTACATGATTGTCATCCTTTGTCACAGGACTGCTGGGAGGAGACTCATACTCTGGTGGTGAGGCAGACTTCTCTACTTTCACTAAGGCTCTGTGGGAATAACGCACAACTCATTAACATTGTTGAATAAATTGATTAAAGTTCATAATTTAGTGTTTAGAAGTATTTAATAGGATAAGCCACCCTCAAAAAAAAAACATTTTTCAACGTTTCAGGACATCAATATATTTATGTTTAGACTATTTCTCTCAACTACTCCATGCAGTGCTGAGTTCCATTTCTTACCATCTTCGGGTAAAGAAGTTCCGCAAATTATTTACTGGATCAATTAACAATTACAACATTTTCTGAGGGGAAGTTGGGGTCAGTTACCTCAGTTGCCTGAATGGCACGTTTGCAACACAGTAACACCAGCATTGGTTCAATTGCTAAAGTGGTTGAAATTACCACAAAAGGATTTTCCTTTTCAACTTCTCTTACTTGAGACTTGGTGACCCTCAGGTTAAACCACCACAAGTCTCTCTTTATTGACAGAGCAGCCCCATGATCCAGTAGAACTACAGTGACTGTACCATTACCTTTGACATCTAATGAACACCAATTCACTCACTTATGTAGAAATGACCACATTAAATAACTTGCATTTATACATCACCATTAATGCAGTACCTCACCTTGTTACAGTTCTTGGAGATCGCAATCTGACACCAAATCACACAAGAAGTTAGAATAAGCAACCAAGCACACAAGAGAGACATACCTTACTGACAATTGCTTAAAATTTTCAAACAGAATTACGATGTACTTATATTCAGAGTAAAGTTGCTTGGCTGATGCTCCAGTGCAGTACTGATGGAGTTTTGCATTGTTGAATATGCCATTTTTCAAGTGAGATATTAAACTGAGCATCTCTGCCTTCTCTTTCCTTCCAACATCCTATGGAAATACCCAAGGTCCAGATCCAACAGCAATGTGCCTTTCTATCTCAAAAATCTCACCAAGGTTCTTCACAAGAATGAATATCAAGGCTAAAACTGGCATAAAGCCAAGGAGAAGGATGTCCAATTGATTATCAAAAATCTTCCACTTTGACCAATCTTGAGAAATGTAGACACCTAACATTTCAACAACAATTCTTTTTGGAGGAAACAACAGCCAATTTGCACACACCATGCTCCAACAAATGACAATGTGATAATAACTGGATAATCTGTTTCAGTGAGGTACAATGGGAAATAACTATTGGCCAGGGCACAGGAGAATTCCCCAGGTACTGCAAAGAATGCTGCAAAAGCTTTTACATGCACCCAAAAGGTTAGAGGGAGCGTTAGTATCACATCTCATCTGAAAGACAGCATCTCCAGCAGTGCAGGCCTGACGGAGTGCTGCACAGTAATTCCAGATTTTATACTGAAATCCCGAGATCCCCAAGCTCACTGAGTCAACAACACTATTCACTGAGTCATAGTTGACATGAGGTAGAAAGGCAGGGAGATTAATGAAAGGCATTTCAGAGTTTTACAGTCTACTTTGAAGGCATAAGAAACTGATGATATATGAGGAGGTCAGAGTTGGAGGTGTGCAAAATGAGCATTAATGGGCTGCAGAAGGTAAAGGACAGGAGGGGGAAGAGAAAACCGAGTCTTCAATTCTGTTGTCAGTTTACAGGAGCTAGAATGTGGGCAGCCCTGACTCTTTCCATAGCCATTGCACTACTACAAGAACACTTCAGAGCAGATGCAAGAATTCGCCTGAAAAACCAGGTCCACTATTAAAGTCGTCTAAACAGTTAACACTAGTTAAAAGCCACCCAAGATCCAAAATAAAAATTAACATACTTAATGCCTTTTGAACTGAGCAGTAGAAAGTTATTAAACCCAATTAAAGGTATTTTTTTCTAAATAACAGCTATTCATCACAAGTCACTATCCTTAATAAATGTTCACAGGACTTGTACTAGACAAGTACCAGCGTGGTTTAAAAACCAGATATTGGAAGAAATAATCAAATGGACTAAAACTCAGTTGTCTAGAACTTTCACTACTCTCACCAGCTAACCTCTAAACTGGAGGGCATCCAAAACTGGTTTACCAAGTTCCATTCACCCAGCATCCCTGCATTTACTGATTATACAGTGGTTCAATTTAGAAATTCTTATCCTCGTTTTCAAATCCCTTCATGGTCTGGCCTCGCCATATGTATAAATTTATCCCATTCTACAACTCTCAGATATATGTGCTTCTCTAATCCTGGCCTGAAGCACTGGGGTGGAAGGAAACACTTTTCACATCAAGATGCTCAAAGGCATCTTAAATCTACTTGATACACTTTAAGGAGAAATTCACAATCGTTAAGCAGGAAACAACAGCAAATTTGCACACGGCAAACTCCTACAAAAACAATAAAAAGAATTTAAAACAAGATGTTGGTTACAGGATAAACGTTGGCACGGACATCTTCTGAATGCGAACTAAACTAAAATATTGAAAGGAGGACCAAGCTTGGCAGAGTCACAAAGAGAGCGCAAGAGCACACAAGCACTGAATCAGTCTCTTTAGAAAGAAACTGCTGTATGAATCTCAAATGAAATCAATAAAAACTGTTGACACACTTGCTCATGTGGATAGTCACCAGAATTGTTCTTAACCCAACTTCTGACCACACCCAATTTGAAAGCAGAATTCGTCAAAGCCCAGTACTCTTAAAAAGGATTTCCATGAATGCAATGACAAGTTCACTGCAAGTTTAGTGCACAGAACTACTAAAAAGTTGGTCTGTGTCAACATTTGCAGTAGAATAAAGTGGTTTGACAACAACAGGAACAACCATTGATTTGTTATCCTATTATGCAATGAGAAAACAAACAAAAAAAATTTGTAACATTCCACTGTGCAGCCTCAGGAAGTCTGTTTGACAGCTAAAAGAGTGTGATTGCTGTTATAATACAATAGAATACAGCACAGAAAATTAAGCCTTCAGCCCACCAAGCCTGCGCCGATTCCTAATCCTCATTTAGACCAGCTACTTATTGCCTATACGCAGTTTCTATCCCTCTGTTCACTTCCTGCTCATGTGTCTATTAAGATAGACATTAAACATTGCTGATGTGCCTGCTTCCACCACCTCCATTGGCAGTGCATTCCAGACACCTCATCATCCTCAAAAATTTTCTGCACACTTTTACCCCCCCTTCTCACCTGGAGTTTGTGCCCTCTTGTAGCTGACCTTTCCACCCTGGGGCAAAATAACCTCTGTCTATCCACACTATATATGCATCTTAATTTTGTAGACCGTTATCAGGTCGTCCCTCAGCCTCCTTCTTTCCAGTGAAAATAATTGCACTTATCCAACCTCCCCTCATAACTAAAACCCTCCAGACTAGTCAACATCCTGGCAAGCCTTCTCTGCACCCTCTCCAAACCATCCATGTCCTTCTGTAGTGTAGCGACCAGAACTGCACGCAATATTTCAAATGTGGACTAACTAAAGTTTTATACAGCTATAATACAACTTGCCAACTTTTATATTCGATGCCCTGGCCGATGAAGGCAAGCATGCTGTGCGCCTGCTTGACCACCATATCCACCTATATTGCCATATTCAGGAATCTGTGGACCTGTGCGCCCAGATCCCTCTAAGTCAATGCTAAAGGATTCTGCCATTTATTGTTTAATTCACACCTCAATTTTATCTTCCAAAATGCATCACCTCACATTTGTCCAGATTGAACTCCATCTGCCATTTAAATGCAGAAAACAGCAAGCAATCCATGTACAGCAATTTCTCACGCAATGAAAAAAACGACCTGATAAATTTTTTTTGTTCTGTTGATTGAGAAACAATTACCAAAGAAACACTGAAAAAAAATCCTCGTTCTTCTTTAAAATACAGTTATGGCATCTTTTATATTCATCCAAGAGGGCTTGGTCCATTATTTCATCTGAAAGACTACACCTGAGACAAGGCAGCACGTCTCCAGTACTGCACGAGAGGATGAGCCGAGAATGTGTGCTCATATCTCCAGGACAGCACTCAAAAATCAAGATCAACTTGGAGAGGACGACATTGAGGGGAAACGTTAAAACACCGTTACAGGCTAGTTGAAAAGTGACTGCTGCTTCCCTGGCCCTCCCTCTACCGTCCACTTTACATTAATACAGACACAAGAGAATGCTGGAAGGAATTACACAGCAAACCTAAAATATCCATCAAGATTTCTATTCTAGGAAAAAGGAGGAAAAGAAAGTCAATCCACACCAGTCAGCTAACTCCTACTAAAACCACCATAATCTTCAGCCCAAACCTTTGAGCAGACCAGCGACTGGTTTTCTTCACTTTGACGGACTTGCTTCTTGCAAATCTTCTGGATGCAGGAAAGGAGACAGTATGAAAGTAACTGCTCAAAACTAATGAATGTCCAAATGTTTTCAGTGACATAATGTTGCATTTAGTCCAAATACTTTTGAGCCTTCCCAGTACATCTCCTTCAACACTTCAAGCCAACTTGTGCAACCTTATTAACAGCAAGATTTGGCTTGTATATTAAAAGAGACACATAGGAAACCTGCACAGGTGGTGGCCGTTCGGCCCCAAAAGCCTGGTTTGCTATCCAACTAGATCACAGTTGATCTTCTGTCCCTGTGTAATTATCTTGCATTTTTCCCATACCCCTGCAAAATTTTACTCTACGACTGAGACTCCATACCCTTTGGGCAGAAAATTCCAAAGATTCCTAATCTCAAGTGCAGTCTTTCAGATGAAGTAACGGAGCAGCAGCACGGGCTGCGAGCCCCAGGGAGAAAGTCCTGGAACTTACCTTGCAGCAGCCGAGTACTGGTACAGAGAAGAATGGAGGCTTGGACCAGAGTGGGGACAGTGGCTGGACTGGGGATTGGTGCAGGCAGTCAGACCACGTGCAGAGGTCCTGCACTGAGTTGCTACAATGTAATGTTTAGTTGAAATCTTTCACCTCAGTGTAACATCAATCCTTTAACGATGTCTTATTTCTCAAATTTATTTTAAAACCTCTAAAGTAATGCAACTACTTTTTATTTGTCTGTTGTATACAAGATTTGTACCTAGGTACTTGTACCTAAATGGCGCCATAAGAGGCAGTCATTGTAAAAGCTTTTCACTGTACTTCTACAATGGAGTAGATGTGACAATAAAGGATATTCTATTCTATACCCTCATGGTTAAATTACTAACCAGTCCTAAATTGCCTACTCTTTTTCAAGACTCTCTCTCTCCCCCACCCCCGCTAGTTCTGAATCATACCAATCACAAGAAACATCCTTTTTATATTCACTCAGTCAAGCTATGCAAGCAGATTTTTATTCTTCATGAAAAGGAACACTCTAGGGAATAAAGACCCCATTTTCAAACGTCTTCTAAA